AAAATTAATAATACAACGCTATTTTGTTTATATCTATGTATATGAAATACTAATATTAATAATAATAATGAGACAGAGTAGAAGTTAAAATGTCCAAATAATAAAAAGTTTTCTGCCATATTAAATGTTTCAGTAAAACCCAATATCAATAATTATTTTAGTTATTTTCTTTAAAAGAATAATTTATTCACAGATTTTAATAGTTCATTAATTGATAATATCATAGCCTTTCTATTCATTCCTAAATAATATATCGATGTACCTACAAATTATAATCTTGCATTTAATTTTAATTTAAACTTTTAAATACAATATTATCTCTGAAACAATTACCATAATTATAACATTAGTGATTTAGGTACCTAAGTATAGGCAAGTACCAATATTAAATACACAATTAATGCACATTAATTATAATGATGTTAAATTGGTGAGCTTGGAAAAACTGACTTCTCGAAATATAAGGCGAATGGATGGAAATGAGTTATTTACATATTTATGATAATTATTTTCTTACAATTAAATTCCGTATTGGATGTGAAGTTGATTTAATATACATCAATTAAAGATATACACGCAATCCAGGTATCAAAGTTATTTCACAACAAATTTTAATATAATTTTAATAGCTATTAGAACGTTTGATACTACAATAAAAGGCGTACTGTAAAAACCAGAGAAGTCCACTTTTAAAAAAATAAAATAAAGAAAAACATTCCCTAAAAGTTGATGTGACAACCAGATTAGTTCGTTGTATAATATATATAAGCATAGTTTTTATAAAAAATGGAATTATTTACTTTTTTTTTTGGTGCAATAATTAGATAAGTCCAGACTTATTCGATTTTTATTGTAAAAAATGGTCTCATTTTATTCCAATAGGTAAATTTAAGTTGTATCATACATTATAATATTAAATGATATTATTTTATTTATATTTTAAAATAATAAAATATATTTTTTCAAAGAAAAAAATTGAAAGTTGTGTGGAACAAGCAGAAAAATCCAAACCAGGTTGAGTTTATTACGTTTTTATAAAATGTGTATTGTATAAAGAAAATAGATAAATCAACATTGTTCACACATGTCTAGTACCTTCCACAAAATTCGAAATTGTAATTTTCAAACAGTATAATTTTCAACAACTTCAAACACTAAAATTGTTCTTTGATCATCCTTAAAAGTTTCTAAAAGTGATTTAGTTTAGTTTTTGAGTTGTTTCTTCATAATTATGTTATTTTATGAAACAAAATCAAATTTTCAGTCGATCGGTGTCAATAATGAGAGGATAAGGTACAATATAAGTATTAATATTCAGTCAAAGGATTTAAACTTTAAACACCTTCTTTAATCTGATGAAATAAAATTGCATATTGCCAATTATATTTTATTCAATTTATTTTTATTTATTTATTTAATTCTTATTTATTTATAGATATATCATACATCGTATAAACGCTAATCGGATTTTTACGTGTATGAAGTATAAACTTAATTTTAATAATTAAACATTAATTTTAATACCATCAATGAAGGAAATGAGTATCATGTGTTGGAATAAATTTCATAACCATATCAGGTACCTAAACAGATGAGTAGGTATATAAGTATATAAATTGGAGATGATTTTGTTAAAAATAACACTAGGATTTGTCAAATACTCAAATTGCATCGATGAAAAAATAACTCTTTTTTTCCACATTAGAATTTTTCCCCTTCAATAGTCTATCCTGTTTATATACATAGGAATATAGAATCCATGTTTTTTAACTTTTACTCTATAAACTAATTATTAAGTAAAAATGATTTTGTGTAGATTTTGTAATATCTAAACACTCTAAACTATCTAACAACTTAACTGGCGATTTTTAGAATAAGGGGATTCTCTATACATGTAGCCATGTAGGACGTAGGTATAATATACTCCACTATAATGCTTTCTAAATTATCATTTAACATTCACAAAATAAATGCTCGATTTTTTCACTTTTCGATATAAGTCTAAATATGGATAAAGAAAAAAAATAATTAGGTATCCTCCCCGACTTAAGTTTCTTTGTAAAACATTTTTAATTCATTTTTATTTGAAAAATGTATTTTTTTAATTACATAAAATGTCCACACACAAAAATTGTAATTTCTTGTTATTAATTTAATTATTATCTTATGTACGTATGAAGCAAAACACGTAAAGGTACCTATTTAGTTTTTAAATAATTTAAGGTTCAATAGGTAGTAGATACACGTTTCACTGAAAACCATTATCATATTATGTCTGTGTGTGATGTGTATTGATTATTATACGGTGAAAAGAACAGTTTAGTATTTTACATTTTTACATGACATCTCATTGTAATAGTCACATATATTTTGAACTTTCTATTTTTATTTACGACTTTCATTGTATACATTTTAAAATATAAAAGGATTCGAAAACACGTGTATTCAAAATCACAATGGAAACAATTGTTATCTTAAATATTATTATTATAACTTATAATATGAGATTTAAGTTTTGATTATATTTCAAACCAATCTTGAAAAAAAAAATAATATCAAGTATAAATATTGTCTTAACAAAATACTTTGAAAATTATGTAATCATTTGGGATAAGTATAATTTAAATAATTTAAGACATCTCATTAAATTAAATGATTTGTTAATTTTAGTTATTTGAATATATTATAGTTGTATTGTGGCATTTTAATAATAATTAATCTAATTTAAAATACAGAAATTAGAAAAATACTATACATGACCATATTATACTATATTGTATTATTTTTATTCATCAAAATATGTGAATACATATTTATAGTTGTATACTATTGTATCCACTCTGGGATACATAAAACAAACTGAATTGCTAATAATTATTGCAGCATTCCCGACAAATTCAATTAAAATACCCTTTTTACCATTCTGGTTGTTGTCATAAATTCATAAGCGCCCGAGTGATGTTTATTAGTACACAGGTGACTAATAATAAATCCGTTGAACGAACTGTTAAATCAAATTAATAATCAATGGATTCTATGGTTGGGGTTGCTCTCTAATGTCTACCATCAAATGACTAACACGCGTAGAGGGTCACAGATAAAGCTTAACTATATTATATTCTACCAATGTAACTATAACGTGCACATTATACAGCATTCATTATTTGATTAACATAACTTGTTTCAATATCATATTACACATGGTACAACAAATGCATACAACATTTTCTTTATGTTAAGTGTTAACAATTATTTCCCCTCGAATTTCCCCTGTTTTGTTTTACTCTCGGTTTTAGTGTGAAGTCTGCTTTATACATATATCATATGTTTATGAGGTTTTCAAACTTACTGTTACAAAAATAAATTACTAGTGATGTTCACCGAATATGCACGAGAATTTAGTGTCTACTGACATTGTTATATAACAATACAATTATTTTCGAAGTATTTTGACAACAAGTATACTTGTTAAATTATCGAAATTTGCTGTATAACATTTGTAATAATATCTCCCCTTATAGTTTAGAAAACGATTACTAAATAAACCATCATAAATTAAAAGATGAATATTAAAAAAAAAATGTAATCTGTGAAATTGTGAACCACATTTTATCAACAATACAAGCGTGTATTAATTTTGCATACTCAACACGCCTTGTTTAAACATTTTACATTACGGTTAAAATAGCCCATATAAAATAATCTAGTTTCTTTATGTTACAATTAATTACACGAGCATTCAAAATATATTGTTATATTAAGGTTACACATTGTGTTAACATTAATATTCATACGTTATTACGGAGCTTATTTTTTTTTTTAAATTTTGTATACCAATATTTTTACAGTTAAGTAATTATTTTAGGTTCTAACTTTCTAAGCTTAGTAAAAATATATTGGTTTAAAACATGTTGGTATATAAATTGTTCGATAAATATCTTTTGTTATGTGGAATCCATTAACGTCTTTCAAATATATCTATAGTGGATGATTTATAATTCGTAAATATTATTCAATTAGGCTTCTTACATCTCGCCTTACACATATTTATGAGTAATTAGTATCTTTATTACATTACAATTTTTAGAATGAATATCTACCAGTCTATTCTAGAACTGAGCAGTAAGTATCTAAATTCTACCTTCATTTAATATAATATATACCTGTGCGATTAACTTGCATTATTAATAGAAATCGTGGAAACTATAGCAACGACGACTTCATCAAATATGTACTATATACCATATGATACTTTCGGAGTTTTAAATAATTCATATATTTTTCAATATTATTCAATTTAATACTCACTACAGTTTATGCAACAGATTAACAATTAAAATTAACGATAATTATTATTCTCAAAGGTTAAACACCATAATATGGGTGACCGTATCGCAAAACGACCACACACCCCGTTGTCTTGGCCAATGTCTGTTATATAGTACACACTACTCCAATTATGACAGTATGATAGTACTCGTTACTGGTTTTCACGGTCAATGATTAATACTAATTATTGTACTTGATGGCACGTGAGAGTGACTTATTCAAAGAATTTAACTACCGAAAACTAAGGGCTTAAGAAAAGCTTCTCTTCCGCTAAGAGTTCCATCAACGTTTAATAATAAATCAATAACGATTTTACTCGTTAATACTTCGTTAGTCCCCTATTTACGATTTTGTTCATACTTTTTATTTTACCAATTAAAACTGTGTTCGATCTTTCTATTTCTACAGGTCACATAGAGCTAGAACTAACCTACAAACCAACATTATCTCACAATTTAGTGTCGAAACTATTTGTTAAAATGTTATTGGGCTAGAACGAATTATGTGAGGACAATCGTTTTCGAATGTTTGGCAAATTTTGTTGTAAGATATACTATTCTAAAACGGTTTCTACAACAAAATCACGGGGCAAGCCGTTCCGGCGGTTCAAGAACTGTGGTGCCTTTTTTTTATTCCATCAAAACCATCATCATAACGTTTGAAAAGCTCACCTTGGAAAGCCGCTTCAAACTGCAACGATTTTTCGACGGCCGACAACTCGCCGCCGATGATTGCGCCGACCGCGACGACGACCGTCGCCAACAACACCGACGCCAACCGAAAGTCGTACATACTATTCGCCGCGCACAGGACCGGCATAGGCACAGGTGCAAGCGAGGGGCACTCTATTCGCCGCCAAATATTCACACGGTCGATGGTCGTCGCCCTTTTCGCTTTTTCTCGGCATCGCGTCTCGTCATCCTTTTTCCGCGGTTTATTTTAATCTTTCAAACACTGCCTGTAATATTGTATTATACCTACACGCGCACACGCACACCTGCGTGGACCGATACGGCGACGTTTATTGTGATATAACTATTGTTATTAACTCATCGCGAACACGCACCACACAACGAATTGTAATTTTGTATTTCTTACTCTTTCGTTGGCGAAACGATAAACAAAAACGCGAAGAAAAAAATCGACCCCGTTGGGTGAAACGGCGGCGACGACGTAACTCCCGTCGCGATGCTACGGGCGTTTGGCAACTGTTTGTGGTTCCCCCGGTCCTCGAGCGCGAGAGGCGTATTATCATTATTAATATTATTATTTTTTGACCGCCGACGAACTCACCCACCCCTGGTGGTCACAAGTCGCGTACTCGTGCATCACGCCATCTATGTGCCGCGTTGTGACGATCACCACATTCCGGACGTCTCTGACGCACCGAGTCAAAGACGCTGCAAACGGTTCGATTCGGGCGGCAGCTATTGCAGCAGCTGCTGCTAAACTGTAAATAAACTAGTAATATTATAATATTTATGTAATATGTAATTAATGTATATTACTTATACAGTTATACAGCCATATAACCATATAGGTAGGCTAAACAGTACCTACTTTATATTAATTTATCTATCACTCTGCTATGACACCATAGTGTCCAATCGATAATATCATAAAAGTGACATAGTACCACATCTCGACAGTCCTACACAAAGACTCGCAAACTTTACCCTTAAACCAGGCACGGATCCAGAACATATTTACGGGAGGGGGGGAGGGGGCATCTTAAATAAAATTTCAGCCTAAGTCTGATAAAAACATTGTACATACTATGTAAGTTAATAGGTAAATATTATTATTTAAATTCCAGTTTATCAGTACAATAAAATAAATAAAATAATTAGATAAGTAATATATATGGTTTAATTAATAATGATACATAATATATAATAAATAATAATTAATAATAAAATATAACAAATATTAAATAATGATCACAGAACAAAATTGTTTCGTCTTTCAGATTTGGCAAATTCGTCAATTACTTCTTCATAGTCAATACTAATATTTCTATAACAATAAAGTAATGCAAGTCCATTTAAGCGCTCTTCTGATACACTTGATCGCATCTAAGTTTTTAATCGTCGAAGAGAAGAAAAATTTCGTTCCGTAGTTTTAAAGTGGCTAGTAATATTAGGAGTATAAGAAAAGAATTACAAATAATTGGAAAGGTTTCGGAATCACATCTTTCAAAAGCTTCTAATGATGTTTTGGAATTTCTTTTTCATTTGTCCAATATGTATGCCACAATTGAAGCTCTCCTTCGAAATATTTTTTTACGAGATCTTCCGATAAATTCAAATTAATAGATATTAATTCACAAAATTGTGCCATTATATTGTTAATTTGTTAACCAAGCATTGTATAATATTATTAAAAATTAAATTTAAATTTTCAGCGCTGTTTTTCCGTTTTTCTTTTAAAACAATAAGTACATTATTTATTAATTTAAGAGCCAACAAGTTATCTTGACTTTTTGATTGCAAAATTATACTTATTGGTGCAGATATTGAAAATGTATTGGATATAAAACTTAATGCTAAAATAAATTCCACACTTGACAATGATTTTATTAGAATAGACGCTTTTGAGGACGTTTCAAGATCGTTCCATTCAGATATTTTATCTAATGCTTCAATAATTAAAACCAAATTCGAAGAAAACTGCATAATGGAATCATGTTTTTTGACCCACCTGGTTTCACATAAAGACTTTAATGAAATATTTAAAATATTTTTTACAACAAACTTTTTTTTTTGCTGAAGTATTGAAAAAACTTACTACTTCTTTAATAATTCCAAATGCATTTCTAACAAATGTTTGTTACAACCTTCCATTATTAATAAATTTAGAGTATGACTAAATCATGAACATTTTATAGCAAATTTATTTTGAGTTTTAATAATTTAATTGCACTGTATTTTTCAGAATGCATCACTATTCTTACACAAGTATTCATAGGTAAAGCTAAATTTTCTAAAAATGTATTACAGTTTTCCCTATTATTTCTTCTGTCATTTTTGGTTCAATATTGACACTAGATTGATTGTAGTTATTTTTATGACAGTCTATAATTATAACAAAGTCTTCATTTATAGTTTTGTCTTACACGTATCTTAAAACTATAACCAGTTGTGAAGTTTTGGATATATCAGTTGTTTTATCAAAAATTAAGCTAAAATATTTTGCATTATTTACTTTGTTCAGTATATTTTCTTAAATTATATTTCCAACTATAGAAATAAGAGTATTTTGAGTCGTTTTACTTATATAAGTAGCTGTTGCTTCAGCATTTTTAAAATGATTTTCTAATGCGATATCTCCAGTCCTCCAGATAATATCTTAAACTTTGGAAACCCTTAAAATTTCCTTCGTTCTCTAATGAGTAATGGGTTATCAGATAGATCATTAACGATTCTATCATCGCGATGACCACGTAAAGCAATATTTTGCCGCCCGAGAAAAATCAAACTTTCAACTATAGGTTTTAGTCTAGATCTATTTTCATTAACTTGTTTTAGGCGCTGTGAATTTATTTGGTTTACCACTTCCAGCTCTGGATTATTATACGATTTTAAAAATTGTTTTCCGTTCAGTAAAGAATTTTTATGGTACAAATTATTATCATGCGTTTCGAGTTAACCATCCTTTCCTAATAACTTAACGAATTTCTTTAAAGGTTCAACTACTAATGACATTAATGGAGTAAGGTTATTAAATCCATGACCAGTTTTATTATGAAAAATAGAACTATAAATACAAAATAATCCACTTTTTGAAGGCGAAAAAACTAGCCAGAAATATTTATTTATTTGTTCTTGTTTAAAAAATCGTTTACGAAGAATTTCATTTTTTATGTGACTTGAATAAAGAAAATTGTAACCTAAAGGTGGTTTCCAATGATTTTCAAGTAACTGTTTTTTAGTAAAATCATCAATTGTTGATTTTGAACTTAATACGATCCCTATATCTATAGTTATATTTTCTACAGTGCCTTGTTTTGATTTGATCTTGGATCAATGTCTAAATTATAGCGGCTGCCGAAAATATATTTAACAGAAAATGCACCAAAGTCTACGGGGGTGATGGCCCCTTGCCCCCCTCCCCATTGGATCCACGCATATCTTCAACACATACCTATCTACTTATATATATATATATATATATATATATATTATACATAGTCACTTTAGTCAGTAAATAACGAGAACTGTTGGCTCCATAAGCAGTGGAAAGTTGTGAGGTGCGGCTATTCTACAGAGTACAGGCTATAGCTTAACAGCACCCCAAGGCTTCCGAATTCCGAAACATTAACAATTGAGAACAGTTTTTATTTTCCTTTAATTTTTACTACTTTATCAATTTGGTATAGTTAAAAAAACAGTATCTATTAATTATTTAAGTCACTACTGCTATCTAAAGCTATCCTAGACTTCCAAGGTTCATTTCAATGCCCATTTGTGCGTATTTGTGATTATTTCAAGCACTTAGAGAATATGTTTTGCTTAGTTGACATTTATATTATTAATTGACTAATATTATACTATTATACTAAACAAATAAAAATCGGAAGTAGGTACCTAGTATTAAGTATTCTAATAAATTATTTTTATTTTGAATCACCCGCGTAGATTGACAGGAACACAGCTAAACGGATTGGACATAAAATACAATATATCGGGTCCGACACTCTTAATGTCGATAACTGGTAAATGCAGTTTAATATTAAATTACACCACATACATTGAAATCATTATCAAATATGACAACATATTATGCTAATTACACATATTTTTATATGATACACGAAGTTTTTCAGATTTTTAAGTTAACCGCCCAACCAATTGATATTATTGTATATTTTCTTTTATTATCCTTTAATAACAGTATTACAGGTGGCCAGTGTAGGCGCCTAATTAAATTATAGATTGGGATAATATTCCCTTATAAAACTATATATATAATTATAGATTGTATAACACTACCCAATTTACTTTGGGAAAGTTGCAAAAAAAAAATGACTTAAAAGTATAAATGCAAAAATAGTGAAGTATAAATTAATATGTATACCTAATACCTATATCTATATTATAAACATAGAATAAACATGCCTATTACCTAACGTTTAAAAATAAATAAGCTTATGATAATTATCTATATGAAAGCACACCATAACTACCTATAACTATGCATTTTAATTTATTATTTAATAAAATATGTGTTTGATTTACCATCCCTTACACGAGTCCTACACTGCTTCTGCACTAGCGTAATTTAAATTAATACATGATTCGTATAATATTACACAAGTTGTGTACCTATCTCCCTACGTAATATACATTTATACCCACGCTATGGAGAATATAAACATCTCAAATATCAGTATTTATTTCATAGCTTTGAAGATTTACTATGTTGAAATCAGTACCTTTGTAGTGATTAGTAGCCAGTAGGTTTGTAAATGTATGATGCACTGATGACAGGCGGACCGGTAAATTCTCGACAACACAAGCTATTAAAGATATCATGTAAACTTATATTTAGTTTAAGTACCTACTCATTTATAACATATTTAATGTTTTATGTAGCGGCGTAGCGTAGGATGTAGGTAATTGATACCTACTTACAACAAATTAATAGGTACCTAAAAGGTAATTAGGTAGTGTCGTAGTGATTAATAAATAATTAATCATCCAATTTAATTTTAAAATTATCCGGAATCATTGAATAAAAATTATTATTTACATAATATGTCATTACATTTTATTCTTTTAAAGTAACACGGCAATTGTAATTGTAATATAAGTGGCTAGGTAGGTGAAATACCAATAAATGTTAGCATTCAATAACTTTTAACTTATACCTGTTCAATATTTTGGGAGATTGACAACTATAGTAAAAAAACTACCTAGACTTACAAAAAAATGTGTAAATGATATAAAAACTAATTTGTTACAATATTAACTAATAAATTGATACATTTAATTTTTAGTGTTCAAACCATTAAAAAATTAATTTTGAATCAGTTAGTTCATTTTAAAGAATCGATGACAAAACAGTCTTCCATATTTGGCAAACTTTCTATCAATGATTCTAGCCAATGTATGGGGCAATTTAGAGATTATAGCGTAGTACCATTGATTATAGAATAAATGGTATACACCTACCTATTTTGTTTTGATGTATTATTTAACATCTGAGAGGACAATATGTCAGTATCTG